ATCTAAGAAGCTTACTTGCTCGCTTTAATCATAAAAAAAAAATTGTTTCCTTGGGTGTCTTTTATATGCACCGTATCCAAATCTCCAAACGGCCCCCCTGAGGACAAAAATATTTAGTTAAGATGTTCAGGTTCAGCCCTGGACCAAGATTGTATCCACTATGAAAAAAAGCGCTTGCTTGAAAAGGGAATCGTAGAGCTTTAGTTAAGGTTGCCACTGCAAAGTGGAACAAATGCCTTCAGAAGATATGTTGATCATCATATAATCCAAATATCTTTTTGGAAGAAATCATATGAACAGTGTATCAAGTATTAGGCATGGTGGTGGAAGAATTGTGCTGAGGCTTTAACATCCCTCTGCTACTGCCGCACTGTACAAACTAGATAAAGTAATAAACAATGAGAAATAACTCTAAACTAGTCAACCTAACATCAGATCACAAGGTTTGTTATTGATTTCAAAAACACTCATCATATTCTGTTAGTTTTTGCCATTTCAGCTTATACTGGCAGTATTAAGATTACTGTAAAGGGTTCATATAATTCTATCCTAAATTATGACAGAAGTTTGTTGATAGCTACTGCAATTATCTGGATAGTTACAATTTGGTGAAAAGAATTTTAATCCCATTGTATATAGCATATTTAACAATATGTCTACTTTTAAAATTTGGGTGAATCACAGGAATTCCACAATACATCTGATCTATATTCTATTTTTTTTTAAAGCAGCTGACAGGAGTTTTTGGGTGCAATTAACTGGGTCTCCTATGATAGAAAAAATTTCACTAATCTGACTGTATGATCTATGATCTTGAGATGGCATTGGTTGTGAGTTGCAGCTATAGAACAAAATCTGAATTGATGTATCTTATAATCATTCCACAGACAAATAATAGTTAAGGTGCATATTTTAAAAGCCCTAAATGATTCTGAAATAACCATGAGGAATGTATGTGAACTCTTGGACCAAAATTACAAAAAGAGAAACATCTTGCAATGCAGTGATATGTATGATTTTTTTCTTTATTATTATGAGACTTTATTACCATATATATAATAAAAACCTTCCTCTTAGATTTGAAGAAAATAAGGAGGGCTCATATTTCCTGAGTTTTAGCTTCTCTTCTTTGGCTTCCTCTTATATCCAGAAAGAAATAGAAGAATCTCTTCTTACTTATCCTGCTTCTAATGACCACCCTCGAAGGCAAACCCTTCAATTATAAGGCTTGTCTTTTGTGAAACCAGCTCCCAGTTTCAGTCATGTAACTTCTACTTTTCCTTTTGATCAAGCTGAGGGCTGGCTTGAAAGAACACTGCTATAGTTTTACTCCTATATGCGTAGATGCAGGGCATCGGATGCACAAATGATTGCTTGTTCACATTTCCCATTGACCCTTCATGTCCCTGTTTGGTATCATTTATATGGCATTTCAATTGAAGTAGCTAATAGAATCAGTGCTTTCCTGGAATTTTTATCCTCTCAACTTCTAGCCTATTCATTCAGATGCATTCTCAATACAGAGCCTGGTTATAAAGAAGGTTTCCTCTGGTTAGAAAGACTTCTTTCTAAGAATGTGTTACAAAGAGAAAAAAATATAGATCTTGGTATTTTTAATTCTTCATATACACATATGGGCTTTTCATCACACCCAGAAATTGATTATAAGGAGTGGTATTCGTATAATTTGGCTTAGATTAAATGTGAATATGACTGATATGAATTAAACAGTTTGAATTTAACTGCATTTAAATAGAGCTGTTTTTATAATGTTAACATGTTGACAAATGTAGCAGAATTATAACAAAATAAATAAACTAAATAAGCTGATTTGTGACAAATATGTTTTCTGTAGAGTGTGAACTTTTTTTTCATCAGACTGTGCTTGTGTGAAAAATAAGCTTTTTTCCATGCTCCTTGTTAAATATACAGTAGATGTATGTCTACAGACATGTCTTTTTTATTCTGTTATATTTATACAGCAACAATCTCAAATCACTGTCCAAAGACAAATCATACAGACAGGCTGGTTAAAATTTTGTAAGGAAACCAGACGGATTCCTTAGCTTATAAGTTTGAATCCTGCAAAGGATTAAAGCCTCCTGTTTAAGCAAGTAGGGACAGTTGAAATCACTCGCATTGTATTGTTGATTGCATCAATCCCTCACACCGAGCATCCATTCAGCGACAGTAGAGAGGAAAAACTCTCTTTTAACAGAACCAGGATTTGTTTGAGCTCTGCCAAGGCCCACTTTATGCCCTTAAGACATGGCTATACTTTATCCAGTGGGTTAGTTTCATGAGGACAAATGTGGCTGAGTATATCTGTATAACAATGAAATGTAATCTCAAGATGTCTGCTAATTTTATTCAATAAAAAAAAACTCAGAGGTAAGATTTTTTTTTGTTCTTATGGCTATAAAGTAATAAAGAATATATAAATGATATATATAATTAAAATATATATACACTACCATTCAAAAGTTTGGGGTCACATTGAAATGTCCCCAATTTTGCAGGAAAAGCACTGTACTTTTCAATGAAGATAACTTTAAAGTAGTCTTAACTTTAAAGAATTACACTTTGTACATTGCTAATGTGGTAAATGACTATTCTAGCTGCAAATGTCTGTTTTTTGGTGCAATATCTACATAGATGTATAGAGGCCCATATACAGCAACTATCACTCCAGTGTTCTAATGGTACAATGTGTTTGCTCATTGGCTCAGAAGGTAAATTGATGATTCACACATCTGAAAACAGTTTAGCTCGTTACAGAAGCTACAAAACTGAGAATTAAGTTTCTGGAGCATCACATTTTGAAGTCAATTAAACGCTTAAAATGGCCAGAAAAAGAGAACTTTCATCTGAAACTCGACAGTCTATTCTTGTTCTTAGAAATTTAGGCTATTCCATGCAAGAAATTGCTAAGAAATTGAAGATCTCCTACAACGGTGTGTACTTCTACCTTCAGAGGACAGCACAAACAGGTTCTAACCATAGAAGAAAAAGAAGTGGGAGGCCGCGTTGCACAACTGAGCAAGAAGATAAGTACATTAGAGTCTCTAGTTTGAGAAACAGACACCTCACAGGTCCCCAACTGGCATCTTCATTAAATAGTACCCACAAAACACCACTGTCAAAATCTACAGTGAAGAGGCAGCTGTGGGATTCTGGGCTTCAGGGCAGAGTGGCAAAGAAAAAGCCATATCTGAGACTGGCCAATAAAAGAAAAAGATTAAGGTGGGCAAAAGAACACAGACATCGGACAGAGGAAGACTGGAAAAAAGTGTTGTGGACGGATGAATCCAAGTTTGAGGTGTTTGGATCACAAAGAAGAACGTTTGTGAGACGCAGAACAAATGAAAAGATGCTGGAAGAATGCCTGACGCCATCTGTTAAGCATGGTGGAGGAAATGCGATGGTCTGGGGTTGCTTTGGTGCTGGTAAGGTGGGAGATTTGTACAGGGTAAAAGGGATTCTGAATAAGGAAGGCTATCACTCCATTCTGCAACACCATGCCATACCCAGTGGACAGCGCTTGATTGGAGCCAATTTCATACTACAACAGGACAATGACCCTAAACACACCTCCAAATTGTGCAAGAACTATTTAGAGCAGAAGCAGGCTGCTGGTATTCTATCGGTAATGGAGTGACCAGCGCAGTCACCAGATCTGAACCCCATTGAGCTGTTGTGGGAGCAGCTTGACCGTATGGTACGCAAGAAGTGCCCATCCAACCAATCCAACTTGTGGGAGCTGCTTCTGGAAGCGTGGGGTGCAATTTCTCCATATTACCTCAACAAATTAACATCTAGAATGCCAAAGGTCTGCAATGCTGTAATTGCTGCAAATGGAGGATTCTTTTACCAAAGCAAAGTTTGATGTAAAAAAAATCTTATTTCAAATACAAATCATTATTTCTAACCTTGTCAATGTCTTGACTCAATTTTCTATGCATTTCACAACTTTGACCCCACACTTTTGAATGGTAATATATATATATATGATAGTTAAACTTATAATTTTGATACTTCAGCACAGAAAATCAACCCTTTTTTTCAAACTTTATTTACAAGTAAATTACATTCAAATTAAATTTTATAATGTACAAGATATATCTTGACTGAGTAGAGGATGCAAAACGAATCAGAAAATACAACAATGTATTTCAGGGAATAAGTACCGCAGCTACAGCAAGAGGCAAGGGAGAATAAGTGACATGTTTCAAAAAAAAAAATTAGATATGTCATGTTTTTATCTTTCATTCATTGATGTTTCCATTGTTTTAACAGGGGATAGGTTATTTTAAAGATCATTCAAAAACCAGTTAAAGGAAGGTTTGACCCCTTTCAATTTCCAGCGATTTTTGTCCATACGAGACTCTTTCATAATTATTGACTAGAATAGATTTCAGCAACTGATTTATCAATAAACTATAACATGTAATATAAAACACATGTTCAAATAAGGCATTTTTAATTCTGGAAGTATAAGGAAATGTACTGAAGTGGAAAGTCACAGATTGTTTTAGATTAAGTGAATTAAGATCATTACAGAGCCTCAGTATAAAAATATAAAACTAAATTAGTAAATTAAAAAATTGTATTGCATTGTGTCGAATACTGTGATTAATATATTTTTAAAAAAACCTTTTAATGGCTTTTATTAATCTCATTGAAAATATGCGTAATTAAAGTGGTGTATTGTATGTACTGTACCATCTTGCATATTTTGTTTGACGATAATACAGTATAACAGCGCCTCCTATCATACTCTGCTGTATTTGAATGCCTTATTGTTCTGCATTGTGTCACATGAATTCATCCAAACACACTGAATTAAAATATACCCTGTATTGCAGCACATTCTATATTTGTTTCATGTTAATATTCATCAGACCATCCTCTTTTATGAGTTTTTTTTTTATGAATTGTTGCATATGGTGCTGTCTTATTGTATTGTACACAAAATTGATTCATATTGTATCTTGTTTCAGTTCTCAGTGGCCAGGAATCTCGCGGGGTGCTGAGGAAAATTAGTGACATGCTAGAGATGATTATGAAAAGGATGGATGCAATGTCTAAGTTGGGCAACACCACTAACACCCACAGGCTGGATGAACTCAGCTCGGCCCTGGACAGGTACAGCGTTCCACAGACAGACACGCTTCTTTCACTGAGAGGGACTATTTTCTTTGAAAATAACACTGAGTGTGGAAATATCAAAGTTCATTCAAACACTTTTCTCTCAAAGTTTGAAATTGAATTTAGAAACAAAGAATAGCGATAATAAAAAAAACAAAAAAAACAAAGAAATCTGGTTAAGTAATAAATGGAGCTCAAAACAGAAATGAAGTATGCATGCATGAATTTCCTTTATAAAACACTGAACTTTTGTGTATTGCAGTGTTTGGTATTCATGCAATATTGAAGATCTTGGCAAACACATTTGTTTTTCTGATTCAGATTTTTTTCCCTATGGTTGTTCTCATTACCTTGGAAATAGGGCCTATATTATTTGTGACTTAAATGTGAACAGCTCCAAACTGACCCACATGAGCATAAGAACATTAAAAGGGTTGTCATGTGCACCAGAACAGTAAACTATAAGAAATACACACATCTAACAGTTTAAGTGCAGAAAAGAAGCCATTTATTGTGTCAGCAGAGGCTGTATTAAAGTGGCATTTTAGCGAGATCTGACAGCTATTTCAGCACAACGGACTCACAGCATGGAGACACAGTAATGGTGGGGCAGGGATGTTAACAACTTTACAAAAATCAAGTTTATTTCTAAACTTTATCATGCTGAGGGAAGCTTTCAGTTTTATGTTAATCTTTAGAAAACTTGAAGCAATCCGGTGTGTCGGACCTCAGCAGGGGCAGATTACTACATGCCAACAGGCATCCATAGCACTTTTAGGTTCTGTGTTTAGTTGTGATGAGCCTTTCAATATACTTAGACAAACTTTATTGTCATTTTGTATATACAGAGTGTATACAAAACAAAAGCTCTCATCGCATTTCAATTTCTCAAAAAAAAAAAAAAACATAGTGCAAAAAACCCCCAAAACGCTTTGATATAGTCAGTTTGATGCAGGGTCTGTGACATGATTTAGAGTTTTTTCAACATTCAGCTGTCTGATGGCGGTGGGGAAGAAGCTGTTTTGGAATCTGCTTGACCTGCATTGAATACTGCAAAGCCTCTTCCCAGAGGGCAGCAGGGAGAACAGTCTATGGTGGGGGTGTGAGGGGTCATCGATAATGTTATGGGCACAGGACACGCAGCGCTGGGATAAAATGTCTTTTATGGGATGAAAAGTGCTGGGATGAAAAGGTTCATCTCTGTATATTAACTAGCTCCAGCGTCTCTCCGTCTTTCCACTGTACAGTATTATTGTAGCCCACTAAAAGCAACAACAGGACAAAAATAAGATGAAAATAAGCAAGCTAGAAAATACCTGAAAATAGCAAGAAAGGAAACTACTGTAACTCATATAGCTACCTCTAAATGACAGAAATAATAGAATATGTTGGCCTATAACTATAGAACATACTGTGTTAAACAATGTAGAAATAAATATACTGGAAAACAAAGAAAAAAGTAAAACCTAAACCAAAATGCTATTGATCAGGATTCAATTATTTCTTGATGAAATGAATTTACGAGCAGTGAGTTACGTATGCACTTGTTGCTGTTGTTAACAGACCTTTGAGAAAATTTCATATTTGTTTAGGTGTCTGCAAAGAAAGCCCCACGTTTTTTTTAACCTTTGCTGATAAGTTCCCCATGGCAACCTCAATTCCAATTCGTCTTCAGAGGTATGAAATCAAACATCAAAAAGATCCTTTGAAAGTGCTTGCACTATCTTTTGCTGTAACACACCGAATAATGCACAGAAAGATATTACAGGTAACTGATATTGCAATTTCATGCAACTGCTGCTATGTGCAAACAAAAAAAAAGGAAATTACCTCACCCGACCTCAACCTTTTTCTCATCCCACCTTGATTTTATCCTCACCATAATTTTCATGATGCCCTATAGATATCCTTTCAGCTACATACATCTTACAGATTAATTGGCCTCTCAGGGACTAAACTAGAAATGTTACAGTGGCAAAGGCCAACCCCTTTTGGTAGGGAAAAATAAATCATTGTTTATGGCACAGAGTCATGGCTGGCGCATTAGATCAGAGACAGAATAACAGGAAAACTTTGCTCACTTTAAAAGCTAATTAGGATTCTTCCCTGCTCCCCAAAGGCTGCCCTGTTGAACACTAGTAAATCTTAAAGCTGTATGGCTGTACATGTTTCACAGTCATGTAGCTGTTAATTAACCTGTGCTGACTTATTGTAGTGTAAAGTTTGTTTATTGTAAATAGAATATTTAGCTTTGTCTGGATGTCATGTCTGTATGAACTGAACTACAATACCATTGTGCTTTGGGATTAGGCAAAATGACTCCTATAATGGTGATTAGATTCATTGTCAGTGGTAGAAAATTCACATAAGCATGCTATGTTAATGATTTATGAAGCTTTAATGGGAACAGATATATATGCATTGATCTGCATCTGGGTATAAAGAATTGCTTCATTTTGTTATTTTCTGAACTTTTCAGGTTTAATATTCAAAGCTGTTTAATGGGGTATATAAATAACAGATTCCTTTCATACATAAAATGTTTTTACCTAAGTGTTTTTCATGTAAAATTTTAACGATACCTCACAAGCCAGATAATATGAGTTTGTTCTGTAATAACACAATCTGCAATCATTAAAGTCTTCTGCTGAAGAGATGAGATTTAAGGTTAGAAGTTCTTTTTTTACATTAAACATTTTTTTTTTTTTTTTCATTGTTATATAAAGATGATGAGCTAAAGAAAAATGCAGCTACAAAGTTCAGTTTGAGTTCAGTGGTATGTACCTTTCATTAAAGCATATTAATTGGATTTAGCTCTGGACTTTGACTAGGCCACTTAAAAACATTTGTTCTCTCTGTTAAATAAGCCTAAACTACTGTAACTGATGTGCTAAAGATTGATGTCATTCTTGTTATGCAGTTACACCTACCTGATTCTGAGTAACATTGATTGTAATAAGAAATTATGAATTATACTGAGAAATTTAATTGACAATAAAAAAGATGGTTAAGATGAAAAATGTGTGGTTACCAGGCTTTAAAAATTAAAATTTACAATTAAGAATGTCAGTTGCTGTTATCTAGTCATATAATATACCAGGAAATGTTGATATTTAAACCAACTGGGTTTGCATTAACCAATAATACATGTTAAGAATTTAATTTATTATTGAAATTGGTAATTGTTAATCATTAATCAAACCCCAAGAAATGCATCTATGTAGTTAAGCTGTTACCTTGAAAGGGTCATTCT